TGTGGGTGTCACTGACTGAATCCTTAATATGAGGCTGGTCCCCTTGAATCTTAGGATTGTGTGTGTTGTTAACACCATTATCTGTCATTTTTATGATTTTTTTTCTAAGATAATTAATCAAAACACGTTAGTAAAAAAAACAAGGATCAACTTAATTACACGGTTGTCTAGGCCCTAAAGTGGGCGCCAAACTGTTTACCGGTAAAACGGTACAGTTGAATTTATACGTGATTTCTAAATAAATGAATTAATTTGATCATAAAATAATGGAATAATAAAATAAATGCACAATACTTAGCCTTGAAATGAATATAAAATCACGAAAAATAATGATTTGGGGACAGGGCTAACAGGCACAACAGTGATGAAGTCAAGGAACAAGAAAGTAAAATTGTATAAAGATTTTTATTTCTTATAGTGTAAGTTTGCTAGAAAAATCCGGTCATTTACAATGATAATAAAACTCACTATTTATAGTTTCACCTAGGGAACAAGGTCCTAGGATCATGTCCTTCTTTAATGTCAATTATGAGGGCCATTGAAAAAGGTGTAACAGTAAGAGCAAATGACAAATTCTCTGTAACGGGCAACACACTAAATGCTGTGGAATATTCTTCATTAAATGCTACCGGACGGAGTGTATTTATTGTATTTTTTTGAGCGATATTCTTTCTGGTGACAGACGGGATAATTGCCTACGGTTTTAGCTATCCCCTGCCCTAGGTTCCACGTGTCCCTCTTTTGGACGGCCACGTAGCATAGCATATTTTACCCTATACACAAATCTTTTACTTCCATTATAAAAATCTCTGGCAACGCTAAGCTTAATTTACTAGGGATTTTGACTGAGAAAATAGTATTTTCGATGTTATGATTCCTAGTCTGAATGGATTCCTCATCATTAATGGCTGTAGCTATTAATAGAGAGGTTCCTTAGTTTGACTTGCTTTTCCAATGGGGAGAATTCTTGGATTGTCTTAAAGTGAGGGAAGGCAGCAGGTAGTCTAAGATGAGAAAGAGATCACCAGTGAGGTTTTCGATGGTCGGAGGTGGTCTCAGGCGTGGGTAGATAGTGGCGCCAGCAAGGGGGGAGGGGGGGATTCCGGAAAACGTAAATGAAGAAGAAGTTTTTTCTTTAAAAGAGAAATATACGTGTCACCTATTGATTGGTCATTTTTTAAAATTACGAGGCGTTTGAGATTCACACACCTTGTTCTTGTAAGAGGTTATTAATTAAGTGTTTAATAGACCCATTTTAAATAAACATTAGATGTTCAATAGGAATATGGGTTAATTCAAGTGTTTAAATGAAAAAATCGCACAAGTTTAAGGGATTGCATATGTATTTGACCAAAAAATAAATTTAAAAGGTAGTTAATTGTTTTTGGATAATTTAATTCAGAATAATTTTTCACTATGAGATGTTACTTAAAGTTAATAGTAACAATAGTAAAAGATAACAAATTATCACACTACTTTGTTCGAAAGATGTAGTCAAGATTCAAAAATTCGTGAAAATGAGCTAATATTTCTTTTAGGCAAAATACTAGTTACGAAAATGGGGAAAAGGCAAATTATGTTGAAAAAGCAAATAATGTAGGGGGGGGGGGGGGGGGGGGGATTAGGGGTGTCAATGGTTCGGTTCGGACGATTATTTTAAAATTTGTACCATACCAATTTTTTGGTTATTCTATTATGTATAACAAAAATTAGATTTTTCGAAATCGTCCCAATCATGTCGGTTTCTCTTCGGTATTGGTACGACTCGGTTAATTTTCGATATTTTTTTTAAATGGCATGTAAAAGTCACTAGTAGAGTAGTAGAATGCAATAACATACATACGTAATTTTATAATAGACATCTTTACTGTTTAAAGGGTGATGAATTAAGAAAACATGAAAATGGCCAGAGTATAGGTCCATCAACTCTTCTATAACAACGTAAAAGAAACTAAATAAATACAGTGAAAATATAAATCACACGAGTGATTTTAACCAAGTTTGGGCTCAAGAATAAAGTCTATAGAAAATTAAATATTCAAAAAGATAAATCTAAATCATACGAAATGAAACATATTCAATAAATTATAGTTTGCTACTCATAATTGCTAGAATACCTTGTGTCTTGGTAGTGAATATGCTAGAAATAACTTAGTTTCAATAGGAGCAGCATAATAGGTCTCATAATTAGGATTTTGAGTTTAATTACTTGTTGGCTTGTAACCGTTTTCATAATTTCAAGGCCCAAGAAAAAATTGAATGCTTTATTATTTTTAAACTTACTATATAAAATAGTATATTTTTCACACGTAAATTTATTCGGGACGGTTCAATATTTTTTTGGTTTATTTTTATAAAATAAAAAACTTATCCTATTATCGGTACAATTCTACATTTATATAAAAGCCAACGGTTGGTTTATTTAGAAAAACCTGAAAATTGGTTTGGTCAATTTAGTCGATTTTTAAATATCCATTGACACCTCTAGAAAATATAATAATTGATGTAAGACAAAACATTACAAGACAAAAAGTGTAGTTGTACTTTTTTTAAAATAAAAATTTGGCATTTTATTCATCTCCAAGAAAAAAGGAGTATTGCAATTTGAGTTGAGAGGTTGAGCTATTCCCCGAAAGATAGACAAAGATATTCTTAGTACAATCGAAATGAGGTAAATTTGCATTTCATTTACACTAAAAAATATTTAAAACAAGAGATAAAAAAGTTTTATTTCAGAAGCAGATCTAGAATTTCTAATACATCGGTACACTACTAAAAAAAAGGAGGAAAAAAAAGAATTATGTGGGAATTGATACATATCCCTCTTGATAAATAATTTAACTTTCAACCAAGTGTACCATTCAATCTTCTTAGATTATGAATGACAGCAGTTAATATTATACAAATTTTTAAAAATATGTATATGAATTATGAAATATCTAATTTTGCGAATAGATCATGTGCTCACGTGCCATAAAATTTTGCATCTAAACCCGCCACTCCTACTCAATGAGGCTCAAAATATGCTCCTACTCAATGAGGCTCAAAATATGGGTATACTCACAGTTCTATGTCGTATAGTTAGCTTCTTAAAAGTATGGTTTTGTGTTGGACACTTCATTATTACGTCAAACAAAGTTGATAGATAAAGTGCAAAAACTTTACAACTTTATAAAGTAATTAGTTGTAAGCTGTAAAACATATGTTATTACTTTAAGAAGTAATCCATAGCTTATCATAGTCCTTTTGAAAGGTAATTCAATGCAACGTGACTTTTTTATTTACTTTAGGGGCAAATTTGTTCAGACCATACCATTATAGAAAAAGTAATATTAAAACTTCCAGTGATCGGTTAAGCGCTGGGACGGATAGAATATGTCTATTTGTTGGTCATGGCTATAATTAGTCCATGATAAGCACACAATTCATTTGTATTGACATATTATATTTTGAGGAGAAATAGCAAAGATTGACAATGGAATAACAATTTGGTTACTAGATCACATTGACATGTTATTAATTATTAGTTGATGGAGAGATGTGTTAAGTTTTGTATCTATTGATTGTTTTTTCATCAATAAATAATGTAAAACTACTATAATTATGCAAAAACTCATAATATAAAACGTTTTCTCCTTTAATTGGCCCATATGCAATATGAATTGAGCAAATTTCATTTGTAGCCCGTTGGTGAAAACAATTATCATTCGCTAGCCATGAATTAAGTCATACAATTTATAGTCCCAAATAAATTATAATGGCTAGCCTAAATTTGCTCAAATACGGTAGATTTTGTTGCCATCGAGCAGTTCCAATCTTCCACCAATCATATGCAAAATTAGGAGTTTTTGGCGTGTTTTAATTTGGGTTTTGGTTTGTTTAGGTTTTTGTTGTTGCCGTCGCTGAGTGTCCATGTGTCTGGTATAACGGAGCAGAAGAATATGTTGGGGTTTGGTTTGGGTTTTTTGGTGGGTTTGCGAGATGGGGTTTTTAGTGGAGTTGAGCAGAGAAACGAAGATTGTAACTCTTCCATTTAGCAATTTGGAAGTCTTTGAGAGAGTTGAAGAAGTAGACGATAGAGCGCATGTTGTTCAGTGGAAAGAAGATAGCATAGATAATGGCGACTCAGCTCAAATTAGCTTCAAAGAATCTAGAGATGAATGAGTGTGTGTTTGTATATGGAGATAAAAAAGAAAAACCTGAATATCACTGAATATTCATTATGCATAACCTTGAAATATATACAAAAATAGACTGTCATATGCAAAAAAATATACTAAATAGATTATCACTATACAAAATATATACAAAATAGACTGTCTCTATATAAAAATATACTAAATAGACTGTCACTATACAATTTATATACAATAGACTGTCACTATACAAAATTTATACTAAATAGACTGTCACTATACAAAAAATATACAAAATGGGTTGTCACTATACAAAAAATATACAAAATGGGTTGTCACTATACAAAATAGACTATCACTATATTACAAATATACAAAATAGACTGTCACTATACAAAAAATATAGAAAATAGATATTTCGAGCTATTAGATGTAATATGTTTGGGCCGGAGGACCATTTTGTGTCAATGGATAAAAACATGGGCTATTAAAAAATTGAGGGGACTATATAGAGCAGTTTTCTCATATGAATTCTTGTGGATTCCATACACGAATGTTTAATTTTTTTCTAAAGAAAACTAAACAAAAATAAAAGAAAAATTTAAGCCCCGTTTGTCCATTTTAAAATTAAAAAAAATCAAAAATGTGTTTGTACCCGAATTTTTGCAAGTTTTTGAAAATTTTTCGAAAAATAAGTTTTTCAAAAATTTCAAAAAAATAATTTTAAATTCTAAATACTATTTTTCAACTTAACTCCGAATATTATCTTTTTTTTCAAAAATTAGTGTTTTTATATCCAAACGCCTACTTAGTCTCCAATAATAATGTAAAAGAAAGAAAATCGAACTAGAAAATATCTAGTAGCCTCAAAATATATGTACAGCGCAACCTCAAAAAAAAAAAATCTTTTAACTTGAGATTTCTATGGCCATGGCTGCGTGGTCATGTTCAAACCAATCTCCAGCTTCACTCTTTCCTTATCCTTCAAAATTCTCTACTAAACCCCTCATCCATTATCACCCTCTAGCAATTCTCTATTGCCCCAAAAATGGTTCTTTTTTGGACCCAAGTCATGCATTGGCAATTGAAGCAAAATCTTTGTTTTTTGAAACCGATATTGAGGAGGAGAGTAGCAGTAAGATTGAGATTATTAATGAGAAGATTGAGTTAGCATTGAGAAGAAAGAAAAGGAGGAAAAGAAGGTGTTATTCAGAATTTTTGGACATGGAGAAAGAGGATAAGATTTCCATTTCTAAACCTGTAAAGACAGGTCTCTACTTGACCCTTAAGGAAGAGTCAGAGTATTCTTGGTATCTCAAGGTGCGACTCTGAAAATCAACAATTACACTAATTCCTGCTTCATAGAACTATAAAATTGAATTACTTCGTATATGTAAAAAGTTGTCTTTTTGTGTAATATGGCCAAATTTTATAATATCCATTATAACAAATTTGTGGTTCATGATATTTGCCATGATATAATATACGTTATAACAAATTTGTGGATAATGACATTTGCCATGATATAATATCCATTATTAGGCTAAGTATTTCTTGCTATAAATAAAATAAAGGAGTTTCTCCTCATTTGTAGATACACCAACAAGACTTGTCTTCAATTCTTGTTTCTTCCTTTCTTCCTTTATTAAGAGTGTTTTGTACGAGAGTTAGTGTTGTGAAATACTTATGTGAACCCTTTCTTTGGAGTGATTTTGTGAGGTTATTCTCTTAGGGTATTTGGGATTAATTAGAGTGTTTACTCTAATTTTGTAGTCTTTTTTGTACTCTTATTGTTATAGTAAATTGTTCCTCTCCGCTTGTGGACGTAGGTCACTTTGACCGAACCACGTTAAATTTGTGTCTTCTTTATCTACTTTAATTGTCGTTGTTATCAACTTCCATTGTCTTTGTTATTGCCATTATACCGTTATTTGGCTATATTACGCACTACCCGGGTTCCCGATCCTAACATTTTGTAGTATTATTTTATTTTCTAATAGCTTAGAAATCAACATTGTAATAGAGCAGGAAGAAGTTCTTGGTTCAAATCTCACCACCACCACCACAAAAAAAGCAAAATAATTTCCACGTGTTCGATCAATGAAAAAGAATCGGAGTCATATGTGATAGGCTGTTGAGACATAAATTGCTCTTTCTAATAGTTTAATTTTTTTAGAAGAAGTCATCACACTTCAACAATAATGTTTGTTTAATTTAAACAAAGGCGGATGTATGATTTTTATAATATGGGTGCACCACTAAATAAAGGAGAAAAAAAATATATTAAGTGGGAATTGATCCTTGCTCCTTTAGGTAAAACTCTTAACATTTAATCAAGTGCACTATTTAACCTCTTTGGAGCATGGGTGCCCAACAGATAATATTAGATCAATTTAAGAAAGTATATACTACATCAAATATCTAGTTTTGCGGAGAGACTGTGGGTTCACGTGCCTCATATATTGTGCTATTTAAATGGAATATATTGATGATAATTTGTATTTTTGGAGCAATTTGATTGGCCATTTGAAAATAAATATTATGTATATAGTCTACATGTCCTATCCTTAGAACACGTTTAAATATGGGCTTATTGTTACTATTCTTTTCTGGCTTTTTAATTCAATTTTTTCCCCCTTAAATCTTGTTCTAGGAAGAAGCAAGAATCGAGACATTGAGAAAGAGGGTTGAGGAAACAAGTGAGATTGAACTAAATCCAAATCAATTAGCTAAGGCTGCAGGAATGAGCAGAAGAAGGCTAGATAAGCTCTTGGTTAATGCTAAGATATCACAAAAGAAGATAATTAAATGCTATAGAGGGCTTGTTGTATCGGTTGCAGCTTCATATCAAGGCAAAGGATTAAGCTTACAAGATCTAATTCAGGTCCAACTTTCATCACTGTAATTGGTTTCATTGGCATTGAAGTTCTGTTATTCTTGGACCATAACCAGCCCCTTTCTTCACTGCCAATTACAGGAAGGAAGCATAGGTCTACTTCATGGTGCTAAGAAGTTTAATCCTAAGAAGGGTTATAAGCTCTCTACTTATGCTTATTGGTGGATTAGGCAAGCTATTACTAGAGCCATAGCAAACAAGTCTAGAGTTATAAGATTACCGGTAAGCTAATGCATTATTAAGGTCTTCCGTTACTCTTTATATTCACCATTGTGCAAGTTTTGCTTGTGACATTGTGATGAGTGTCAAATTTTGTGATGGTTCTTGGCAGTGACCATCAAGTTCTGCAGGGTCTTGTTTTACATGGACTTCCTAAGCATAAGTCATGCAATGAAATGCTGTTAATTTAGCAATATTTGCCCGCAAAAATCATAATAATCTCTCATTTAGTTTATTTAATGATATGCACATTAGGCCAATCATGAACTTTTCCGGTTAAGTAGATATATGTAACTGCCTTTCTCCCTTCTTTAAGTACATGACTGTACGATAAAACTTGTAATTAGTGAAATGCATTGGTTAGTCTGTTATATGCAGGGGAGTATATCTGAGCTTGTGCCAAAGATTTGCAACGCGAACACTGAGTTAAGCAGAAAGCTTCGGCGAATGCCTTCCTACGATGAAATTGCAGAAGCTCTTGATATGGATGTTTCAACTGTTAGACTAGTTATCGAGAGAAACCGAGCACCAATTTCCATTGATCAAATAGTAACTAGCAAAGGCTACATGTCATTGCAGGTTTGCCCCAAGCCTTTGTTGTTTCGACAATTGTTTTTCTTAGATTAGCGTCGCCTAATGAGAATTTGTTGCTTATAAGCTGCTGGAAATTGGATAAGTCTTGCCTACATGGATTAACTTGTCTGCAGTTCATACTTGTAGTACTTGGTGAATTGCAATGAAAAGAAATGAACTACTAGTAAGTGAAATATAATGGAAAAGAAAAGGTAGCATTTTTTCCTCAAAAAGGAAAATAATCATTATGATAGAAATTTCCTTTTAACTACCGGATTAGAGAGGAATGAAGGCAATATATTTGAGGAGAACACATAAACATGCTACTAGACACCTTTCATTTATCTTATCATTCCGTATCCTTCCATTATTTCATATTTCGTCTTTCCACCTATTTCCTTTCCTTCATGTTTTAATCAGTTGGCTTAATCCAAATAGATGAAGGGGAGCCTTGGAGCGGTAAAGTTGTCTCCGTGTGACCTATAGGTCACGGGTTCGAGCCATGGAAGCAGCCACTAATGCTTACATTAGTGCCGGCTGTCTACATCACGCCCCTTGGGGTGCGGTCCTTTCCCGGACCCCGCACGAATGCGTGATGCCTTGTGCACCGGACTGCCCTGACTTAATCCAAATAGATCTAGTTATTGAGCTAATGTTGATCATGCTCGACCGATAATTACACACGAAAAAACAGGGACGTGCCTGATTAAGGATAAGAAAAAACTCATGCTTTTCCTTCAAATTTTGATTATCTTGTAGGATATCATATCAGGGCCTGAAGATATAATACCAGAAGAAATTGTGAAAAGACAAATGATGAAACAAGACCTGGAGAAGCTTCTGCACAATGTGTTATGTGATAGAGAAGCAAAGATTCTGAAATTGCACTTTGGCCTCAATGGAGATACCCCTCAATCTTTTGAGGAGATTGGAAAAGTACTTAAGCTTTCGAGAGAAAGGATCAGACAGATTAATTGCACTGCCTTGTCAAAATTAAGAGAAAGTACTATGTTAGACAGCTTTAAAATGTACATAACATGAATATATTCTGTAAAGGCAAGACATATTTTTAGCATTATCACACGCAAAATTGAATTGATATATAATATAAAAGATCGACAAAGAGTTAATCAATCATATGCAGAACCTTTTCCTTTGAGGTTTAATGATTTATTTAATTACATTGGAGCTAACTTAACAAAAAGGAGAAAAGGGAAACTTTCTACTCCAGTAAAACTATGAAAAATCTACTAAGCTGAACGTAAAATCTTTATTATGAAATGAATCAATGTCTAAATCTATTCTTAAGATAGTATATTTTTTTTCCGTTTTGGTAAACCAAAAGGTGAAAGAAGTTTTCTCGATAGATTACAAGTATAAAATGTATAAACAACAACAAGCGTTTGTAGTCCAACGGTTAGGATAATTGCCTTCCAAGCAATAGACCCGGGTTCGACTCCCGGCAGACGCAGTTCATTCTTTTGATAAGTTTTGCAATTGTTCCTTTTTGCTTTCCAGTCATTTAGTAGAACTCATCCATGGGAAAAATAAGCTGCACATTCTGTAACTCGCGTCCATATGGTATGTAGTTACATACAAATTTTTAAGCATGAATTGTTTGGCCAAATCAAGAAAAGGGTGTGTAATTGGAAAATGTTACTCAAAACAATATGGCCATTACAAGTTATCTAATGCAGACGGGCGGTTTTTCCTATCTTGGAGGGTGAACAACGAATTATAATTTCATTTGTTTGAGTAAATGACGTACAAATTTTTGATTGTCATATACAATTTATGGTTCTCAGTGTAAAAGTAAGGCAAAATTGTTATAGACGTCTTCAGAAATTAAAGTACAGTGCCATTATCTATTGGCATCCACTCAATGTAAAATTTCCTTCTTAACTTCGCCAACAAATTTTCCTGATAGCCATTCAAAACATTGGTTAATCAAAAGGTGCCTGTATTTGAATAATATGGAGTACCTCGTTGACACAGTAGAGGAAAGTGTCTCAATAATACCAGTGGCTATAGTAACCGTTGGACTACAAACGCATTATTAGAGATGAAATGCAGGAGAACGAGCACGCTAGGACTTCAGAAATGGATTAGGATAACCGACTTCCCTAGATATTGTGTTTTCTTTCAATTAAAGTCTATGGTAACTGATCAAGAATTACAATAGATTATGTTGCGGAATATCGTGGGTTAACTAGCACAGAATCATACACAAAGCAAATAGACAAGAAAAAATCAACACAAGGATTTAACAAGGTTCGGCTAAGCCTAATCCTCGGGGCAGAAGCTGAAAGAGTTTTTTGCTATGAACGATAAGAAAAACACAATACAATCTATAGAATCCCTAAGTACAACCCCTACATATAGATCCCAAATAGTCTCAAACCTACAAGAAAAATGTTTCCCAATTTGACAAGGACAATATGTTTTCCTTTCCCAAATTTATTAGGACAATGAGTTTTTCTAAACCTATAGGGATTATGGGTTTCCTAAAAAATACAAGAAAATAATTCAAGCTAAAAAATAACAAATCTTCCCCTTGGCTTGAATTCTCTTCATCAACGGGAACGTCTTTCTACCTTGCCCTTAGCCCTCATGAGGGCTCTACCCATTTCCGCACACATCAACTAAGTCTAGGCAACACTTAAACTGGTTAAGAGACTTAGGCCTCATTTGTTTGCACTTAATAGAGGTCTGAATCTTAATCATTCAGATCTCAGATATTAAGTACGTTTGTTTTCAAAGTATGAATCTTAATTATTCAGATCTTAATCATTAAGGTTTTTTTTTTTTTTTTACTTCACAACCACTTAGTGAGCCTGAATAGGTANTTGTTTTCAAAGTATGAATCTTAATTATTCAGATCTTAATCATTAAGGTTTTTTTTTTTTTTTACTTCACAACCACTTAGTGAGCCTGAATAGGTATGTATCATTAAGATCTATAACAGAGACTTAATTTCATTAAGATGCTATCATCCATATTCATTATTAACTGCCGCCACCGCCTACCATTGTCAACTACCACCATGCCACCCACCACCACTATCATCCTCAATCATAGCCGCCACCATTGTCGACTACCACCACCCACCATCCCCACCACTCCCACCACCATCATTAACGACAACCAACACTCGTCCACCTCAACTACCACAGCTAACCACCCCATCACCATCAACAACTATAGCTAGCACTGCCCATCATTATAAACTACCACCACCCATCACCATCTTCCTCAATCACAACTACCACAACCAACACTCGCCATTATTAAATATCACCACCCACCATCACCATCTTCAATCATAATAGCTACCACTACCAATCACCACTAGCTACTACCCTAAACTACCACCAACCACCGCTTTTAGTAGGCATTCACAAGCACTGCCGTTAGCCATCACCACCAACAACTATTATTTTTTTGAAAAGCTATATATTTTAGTGATGTAATATTAGATTAATTAGTATTTTATTTGAATTTTATGTTTATTAATTTTCAAATAAACGTAAATTTTATACATTCATATGTTAAAAATCAAACAATCTTAATTATTTAGTATTCAGATCTTAATACACATCTTGACATTAAGATGTGTATTCATATTCGGATGACTTAATCTTAATACACATTTTGATATTCAGACGTATATTAAGATTCAGACGTCTTAATCTTAAAAAAAATAAATGAGGCCTTAATCTCTTTAGCCATAGCACTAAATCGTCGATTTGGTTCTGTATTCGGAATATCTTATGGATAACTATAACACTCAAGCAGATCAACGGTTTCTGCAACTGCTAAAGAAAATCACATAGGATTCGTATATCCAAGAAGATTCCCATCAACTACGTTTGCAAACCTTTGCGGTTGGTTGATCACTCTCTTCTCTCTGCCTGTTGTAATACTATATGGTTGTTGTTGTTGCGCATGTGCATCAACATTATCATCTTGATCAATATTTTTTACCTCATCCACTTCCTCAACTTTAGAATTACTTGGCTGAGCTAGTGGCGATTCAGTTTCTAGCTCTATGCGGTCACTGACACTACGATTTTGTTTATGCTATTGCCTTCTCCCTTTGACTGTCCAGTGAGGCAGATTCGTTGAATGTTACATCCCTACTGATAATTAGCTCTGGAGTCTTTTGATATGTGCACCACCACAACCTATAACCTTCACTCCAGTTACATACCCAAGAAAAATACACTTCTTTGCCCTCGCCTAAAGTTTTCCATCCCTCACATGAACATAAGCATGATAACCAAATATCCTTAAATTTAAATAATTAGCAGGCGAACTGGACCATACCTCCAAAGGAGTGTTACACTAAATAGTTGTGGATGGAGATCTTTTGACCAAATAACAAGCTGTATTGATTCTTTCAGCCCAAAATTCCTTGCTAACACATGAGTGTGAAAGCATGCTTCGTGCCCTATCACAAAGCATCTTGTTCATATGTTCTGCAATACCATTTTGTTGTGGTGTTCCGACACAAGTGTGGTGTCTCACTATGCCCTATCTGCTGCAGAAATTATCGAACTCAGAATTGCAAAATTCCAACCCATTGTCAATTTGAAGACGCTTAACTTTTCTTTCCATTTGCCTCTCAGCCATCGTCTTCCATTTAACAAATGTCGGAAATGCCTAATCTTTTGTTATCAGAAAATACACCCACACCATCCTTGAGTAATCATCAATCAAAGTCATAAAATATCTGGCACCACTCTTTGAGGAAACTCTGTTTGGCCCCCACAAGTCTGAATGTATATAATCTAATTTATCTCTGGTATTGTGTGTTTACCAAACACACAATGCTCACAAAAATTCAAAAGTTGATTTTTGTACCAATTCAACAGATTTTGCTTACTCAACAAAGACAATCCCTTATCACTCATATAACCAAATCACAAGTGTCACAACTGAGACTGATTCATATCACTTTTTCCAGAAGCTACAACAACTTCCCCTTCAATTACACTAGCTTGGAGATGATACAATTTAGAATGCAATTTACCTTTCATGAGTACCATGAAACCTTTACACACTTTAAATATTCCATTCTCGGAGCGAAACTTATACCCTAGATCATTCCCTAGATTGGTTAATCAAAAGGTGCCCCTATGCTTGAATAATAGCACCTCGTTGACACAGTAGAGGAAAGTGTCCCAATAATACTGTTTTGTACAGGCTTGCTTCTTGTTGGACGTAGGGAAATGATTTTTGTGTTGTTTCTTTAATCTATGGTTAATGGTAGATGCTGGAATTTCAGTTTTAGTACTGCCGAGCCATATGAGAGAAAGATAAGTATTCTGCCCTCCACAACTCTAGAGAAACAAACCACCTCGTTTTTTTTTTCTTTCTAAAAACACCTCGGATTGAAATTCCATTTTCTTTCATAAAAGAGACTATTCATACCGAATGAATCATGCAAGGTTTTTCGGGAAAAAAATTAAGGGAAATTGATCAAATATACCCCTTTACTTTTAAATATTATTTATATTTAACCTCCGTTATACTTTGCGTGCAATTATACCCTACCTTTAACAAACTTATCACAAATAGCCCTAACCCTAACGGAACCTCTTTCATCACCAACTGCCCCCCCTCCAATCTTCTTCTCCATAAACCAATAACTTCCTTCATATTTCTCCTATCTAATAAGAGGTTGGTTGCTATTAAAGGGTATTTTGGTCATTTAATACTACTCCTAATTTAACGTGAAAACTAACGCGTGTCCATCAATTTGACAGCTGCTGCAAATAGCATATGACAAATAGGTCACTCTCTGTCTCTGCCAATTCATCTTCTTTGTTTTTCTCTGTCTGCGTTTTGGTTCATTCTCTGGTTTCTGCTTTGTTTCAACTTCCAAGTCACTGATGAATTTGTTATTGCTGTAACCTCTTAGTTTGTTCAGAATTATTGTAAGCTCTTTCTTCTTTTGATAGCAATTTGGTCTCTACTTTAGATTTTAAAAACCCATTTATGTTTTGTTTGCCCGTATTTGTAGTGCTTTGTATGTTCCATTGTTCAGTACCGTTGAAGTAAGGAAAAACTCATGTCCAAAATTCAGGTTGAAATCAGCTGCCGCTCGGTTCTTTACTGCTACACCCGTCTACTGGTCAGTTTACATTTTCTACAATTTTTTTTCTTTCTTCCATTTATAATTTTGCCTTAGTAATTCTGCATAAGGGTCTTATTTTGTACTCCAATTTGTCTTCTCTGAAATTTCTTCGTCTGTGTTTTTTCCCCTTTTTTGGGTGGAGCTTTGGTGTTGTTTCTTACCACTGTGATTCTAGGGCGGAGAAAAATATCAACACTTCTCATGAGAATCTTTGTGAGTTGTTCTTATCTTAGGGGTTTTGACATTTTCGTACGATAAGATTCAACAGTATAAAAGGACTTGCAAACAAGAGAGAATGATTTTTTGTGCATTGGGTTGTCATTAGAAAAGTAAGAATTGAAAAGACAATTTCTTTAAAGGGAAGATCAAAGTGCTTGTTGAAATTGGATTCTGAAATTGGTTTTTGCTTCTTCATTCCACCTTCACTTTTGTAAATCCATTTTGGGGTACTGGGTGCTGGGAATTTTGGGTATTTTATCACGTTATTTTGGTAGTACACGCAGCGCGACGACATGTCTGCTTACTACTAAATGGTCAGTTGGAGATTTTTGTGTTGCTCTTAACAATTGTGAAAGAAACGATGCTACTGATGTATTTGGGCCAACGTTAAGGAATAGTCGAAACGTGGGCGAACTGCATCATTAATCACTTTTAAGCCCACCGCAATGTCTTTAAAGATAGAGAAAATTATGCTATATACCTATTCTACTCAAAATAATTACCCGCTTTTACCTATTCTAGAAATAATTACAATATATACCTATGCAACTAAAAGTAATTCCCCGTTAATCCTTCTTCCTATTTTATTTAATACCTCTTATCTTATCTTATCTTGCAAAGTTAGCATCACTCGAATGAAAAGATCTTGTGACCATTCTTACTTCTGTAGAAGGTAAAATGAGACTTAGCTTTTGGTAGCATCCTGTTGAAAAGACATGTTCCCCGTTATTTTTATATCTGTGAGTCCTCCAGCAATAATCAGATGTGCAATCGATTATAAAGATCTACATGATGTCCACTTTTAAGTTTTCTCTTTTGTGATTTACTAGTACTTGTGGCATGCTAAACTAACACCATAAGTTAAACTTAAATATTCATTCTGCTAGCTTGATACAGAAAATCAGTCATAATAATAACAAAGATGCTGCTGATAGAAGAGTTGATAGAAACAACTTCTTAAAATTTGAGATCTCAGAATTGCAGGAGGTGAGCAATGATTGAAGCTTTTCTTTTTGGATACTCTTACAGACAGTAAAAAAAGGTACTGTAGTGTATTTTTTTACTTTTTGATTCTTGTAGTATCTCTTATTTTTTACAAGCTGGATATGTCATTCATCCAGGTTATTTGTGCAGCCTTTTCACAGCTTTTGACTTAACACGATATTTTTCTTTTATTAATTTTCTAAAAAAATACTTACTTGGTAGTAATTTATTGTACAACATGTTACACTTCTCTATTTGTAGTAAAGTCATTTTAAGTGTTGAACGAATTATCTTGCTTGGCTACATCATTTTTTTTTTTGAGAAGGTAACATGTTATATGTATTAAACACAAAACAGTACATGGGTTGTACAGAAACCATATATACAAGTGAGCAAAAAGAGTAAACCAGTCTACATGTCTAACAGGAACCTAATGTGTCTAAGATAGAAATAGTATCCTCTGGGTAGATCTTGTTGCACCAAAAACAAAAAAGCTTAATACAGTTAAGTTTGATCTCTTGCAATGTGTTGTTGTTGTTCTCGAAACATCTAGAGTTCCTTTCTTTCCAAACTGTCCACCAAATACTAGCAGGGACTATTATCCATCTGTTTTTGTTGTTTGCCCCAGCTCCAGCTGCTTCCTAACTAAAGAGAGCTTCATTAATCTTTCCGGGCATTGTCCAAGCTATGCCTTTGAGATTAATGAAGATCTTCGATAACTGATCAGTTATCCTACAGTGCAAAAATAGGTGACCAACTGTTTCCACTTCATTTTCACAAAGAAAACATCTTGAGCATAGAGTCCACTTCCTCTTGTTTAAGTTTTCATGTGTGAGCACAACTTACTTTGTCAGTAGCCATGAGAAACATGGTATTTTGGTATTTCAAATATGTTTCCAGGTCCAGCTGGTGACTTGAGGTATTGGTTGGTTTATCGTTTTGTAGGCTGCATTGACACTGAATTTTCCACTGCTACCTGCCATCTCAATGTGTCATCTCCATTCTGAATTCCTGTGAAGTTGTCCAATTGTTTGTAGAACTCAATCATTTTATTTATCTCCCAATCATTCAAGTCTCTTCTGAGTATTAGTTTCCAACCTTGAGGTGACCACATTTCCGCTATAGATCTCTGTTGGTGATGAGCTAGAGCATATATGTCACAGCATAAATCCTTCAGAGCTCCATTTCCCATCCAATTGTCATTCCAGAATGATGTCCTGCTACCATTTAGCACTTTAATAGAGATTTGGCTTTTTAGAGCTGGCCATAATACCCTTATGGATCTCCAAAGACTAAATCCATAAGATGTGCTAACTGGTTTAGTCATCCAGTTGTCTTCTACTTCATATTTGGCTTTGATTACCTTGCTCCATAAACTTTGAGGGTCTTGAGAGTACATCCATAGCCATTTTAGTTTAAGGGCTTTGCTGTGATTCTTCAAGTTTCTAATTCCCAATCCACCTTGCGCTTTGCTGAGAGTTACCTCTTTCCACTTGACTAGGTGATAGGCTTTTTTTTTCCTTTTTGCCTTGCCACAAAAAATTCCTTCTTATGTTGTCCAGCCTTTGAATGACTCCCGCAGGAATGGGAAAAAGGGACATCATATAGGTTGGCAGTGAGTCTAATACCGAGTTAATCAGAGTGAGCCTTCCTCCCATTGACAAATATTGACATTTCCATTTTGACAACTTTTTCTCACATTTCTCCAGTACATTGTTCCATATTACAGTAGATTTTGACTTGGCCCCCAGTGGCATACCTAGATAAGTGGTAGGGATAGTCCATACTTCTCCCTCCAGGATCAATGCCAAATCCTCCATGTTTGTTACTTTATTGATCGGGAAAAGATGACTCTTTCTCCAATTAATGTGTAGCCCAGAAATTCCTTCGAAAAGAACCAGTATAATCCTCAAAACTCTTAGTTGTTCCACTTCTGCATCACATAAGATCAAGGTGTCATCAACATATTGAAGATGTGTAATCTCCTGGTTGTTATGTCCATTCATGGCTACCTCAAAGCCTTTAATCCACCCGTTGAGTTTGGCTTTTTTGATCATGTTGTTCAAACCTTCCATGGCTATTATGAAAAGAAAAGGTGACAAGGGATCACCCTGCCTGAGACCTCTCTCAGTAAGAAAGAATCCTTCTGGAGAACCATTAATAATGACTGAGAATTTGACAGTAGATATACAAAATTTCATCCATTTAATCCATTGCACTCCAAATCCCATTTGTTGTAGCATATTTAGTAAGAAATTCCAATTCACATGGTCAAATGCTTTCTCAATATCTAGCTTGCAAAGGATACCAGGCTTCTTCTGTTTGTCTTGAGTCTATTGCTTCATTGGCTATTAGTATGGCATCCATTATTTGCCTTCCTTTTATGAATGCCATTTGCTGAGAATCTATCAATTTTTCCATCACCTTTTTCAGCCTCTCAGTCAGGACTTTTGCAATAATCTTGTAAATGCTCCCTATTAGGCTTATAGGCTTGAAGTCCCTCAATTCCTTTGCACCATTCTTCTTGGGGATCAAGGCAATGTAGGTTGCATTGAAACTCTTTTCAAATAAACCATGGGAGTGAAAATTGTGAAACACCCCCATGATGTCCTGTTTAAGCACGTCCCAACATTTAATAAAGAATCCCATTGTAAAGCCATCAGGTCCTGGTGCCTTGTCCATAGCACACAATTTCAAACACCCAAAAACTTCTTGTTCATCGAATCTGCTTTCTAGTAAATTTTTATCTTGCTCAGTTATTGTTGGACAACTCCTAAAATTGGTTGCAGGTCTCCATTCTTCGGTCTCAGCGTAGAGTATTTTGTAGAAACTTACTATCTCATTTTTGATTCTTTGTGGATCTGTGATTGATTCACCTTGGATCGTTAAGTGGTCAATGTTGTTGCATCTTTTGTGAGTATTTGCAGTCTTATGGAAGAACTTTGTATTCCTATCTCCTTCTTTGAGCCAAATGGCCCTGGACCTTTGCTTCCATGCCACTTCTTCATTCTTCAGAAGTTCTTCATACTTTAACAGTAGTGATGTCTTCTCCACCATTTCCCCCTCAGTTAGGCTTCTGATTTCTAGTACTCTATCCAGTGCATCCAGTTGATTAAGAAGGTCTGATTTTTGGGCCTTCAAGTTGCCTTGGTAGCTTTTGCTCCATTCCCTTAGTTTACCTTTCAAGGCTTTCAATTTACAAGCTAGAATATAATCAGGTTTTCCTGCGAAGTCAAATGATGTCCACCAACTCCTGATTCTGTCAACAAAGCCATCTGAGTTCAACCACCAATTGTCAAATTTGAAATATGACTTTGGTTGGTCCCAATTTCCACATTGTAAAACAATAGGAACATGATCAGATGTCACTCTCTGAAGAGCGAATTGTTTGATGTTGCTAAAACAGTCATCCCACTCTTCAGAGATCAAGATTCTGTCAATTCTTGATGCAGTGGTGTGAGTGTCCCCTTTGTACCAAGTATAAATGCCTCCTTCTAGCTGAAGATCAATAAGACTCATGTCCTCTATGAAGTTTGAGAATTCCACCATAGCTGTGGACCTTCTCCTGCAGTTTCTTTTCTCAGTAGGGAATCTAACAATGTTGAAATCCCCACAAATTGCCCATGGACCCTCCATCAGACCCCTCACAACACTAATTTCTCCCCAAACCTCTTTTCTTTCAATGTCACAATTAGGGGCATACACCCCTGTAATATGACATTCAAAGTGCTGTAACATGCCTTTAAATCTGTAAGTCAAAGTGTATAACCCAATTTGCAGAATCTCCCCTTTCCATACCCTTCTATCCCATATCATCATGATTCCACCTCTAGTACCACTGGCTTCTAGACAATCATAGCTTGCCCATCTTCCTCCCCAAATATAATTAACAATATCTTCTACATCCCCTTCAAGCTTTGTTTCTTGCAAACATATAATGTCTGCTCCCCAATCGATGAAAGAATTCTTCACCAACCTCCTCTTATCTATTTTATTTAATCCCCTCACATTCCATGTGACTAATTTGAGCTTCATTGATCAATTAAGAATAAAGCCCTTCCCCTGCTCCTATTTCCGTTGCTTTTGAATTTAAGATCAAAAGATGCCAACCCTTTTAGTTCTTGTGACCCCTTGAACCTGCTCTTCTTGATATTAACCTCTGCTTCCATCTTCCTTGCCTTTCTGCTACTATCAATCAGCATGAGAAGTTCAAGAGCTTCTTCTTCATGGCCCTGGAAATCAACCCCAAACATTTTCCCCAGTTTTATCAAATTTTGATGAACCCAAAGTGTTGCATCCATCTCCTTATCAAGAAGAAGATTTTGTTGTTGTAAGGGTTCAACATCCTCCACTACCCATTCATCAATATCTGGACCTTCTTGGTGAGTGGTCATGGCCTGGTTCTTCTCAATTGCACTGTAATTGCTACAAGTATCTTCCCTGATCTTGATTATTGCCATGGAGTTTAGGTTTTTCTCTGCTTGCATCTCTTCCTTTTCACCATCAGTTTCAATCGGCTGCTTCCCAGGTTCTGAAGTAGTTGTATTTTCTGTTTCTTCCTTTTCTGATTCTGATGTTAATGAATCAGAGTGATTCATTGTGTATCTTTGTTGTTTCGGTTCAGATGTGGCTTTTAAGTCTATAAAGAAAGGATCAAGTATTCCTTCTTTATTGGGCTTATTGTATAAGTCATTAAATATGACTTGGGCTGCAAAATCTAGCCCATAAGTTGTGTTCACAGAATCTGAAGCATTGGGCCCAGTAGAGTGGCCCATACTTGTGTATAAATCTTCTGAAACCCTAATCTCCTTTTCTCTTGCCTCCCCCTTATTTTGTAAAATTGTGACAGCTGGCTCTTCACTTGAGGATCCCATGTGCACTTTGCCTCTATCACGTGAAACTGTAGGGCTGAGTTGACCCATCTCTTTCACGTAGGTTGTTTTTGTCCATCGGCCCTTTGACATCTTCGGACCTCTGGATTCTTCGGCAATCTCCTTCAGCTCCGACGATCTCAGTTCAAATCGGGTTTTCCTCTCCACCCAAATTGGAATAAAAAACTTGATGCCATCTCTCTCAATAACAACTTCGCTAGGGCAGCATCGACCATCTCCTGCTATCTGGATCCTAGCCCACTTGAGGTGGTTCTTTAGGCCTGTCTCTTCCTCTGTAGAAATCCATCCACCGCATAAGTTTCCAACTTCACTGAATATCTTCTGCGACCATAGATGTACTTCACTGAATATCTTCTGCGACCATAGATGTAGTGGGATCCCCAAAGCTCTAAACCAAGTGGTTTCCACAGAATGGGAATTAGAGATGCAGCCTGCAAAAGGGTTCCACCAATCGAGATTCATCTTAAAGTTCTTCCATCTCCATTCTTTTTGAAGAATCTGTTCTGCCATATTCCTATTTGGAAATTCAAATAGAAACATGTTTCCGGTCATCTCGTGCATGTTCACTCCAAAAGCAGCTTTCCAGGTAGCAGAAGTCCATTTCCTGATGTCTGACAAGGATGGTTTCTCTGCTACTTCTTCCCCAAAATACCCTGTTATGCATCTTTTGAGTAAACCAGTATCCTTCATTCCAGCTGGCTCCGTGACAATGATATCTCCTTTGCAAGCAGTGATAGCAGCTTCTCGAAGGGTATTAGATTGCCATTTATTTTCTCGTACTGCTTTGGCAAAAGGATAGTCCTCTTTAAAGGTTCTGGAAGGTTCTGTATTGCTCAGTTTAGTGGAGCACATAATGAACCTTTCTATCTTTAAAGCTATATCTTTCCACCCCGCATTCAATGCTAGCTCAGGAATTATAATAACCGATCTATCATTGCCCAACAGTGAGAGAATACTCATGTATCTTCCATAATTATTGAATTTTCTGGTGCAGAAATATTCTGTTAGCTGCTCCTTGGTTTTCCATCTCCTAACTGAATTCCTTTGATCTTTCGAGGCCTCTTTGAGAGTACTGCAGATCCATTGCATAGTCTTTTTACTCATTGTTGACCTTCTCATCATGTGACGACTTCTTTCCACCCAATCATACCATATATCTGTGCCGGAAGTCCATCTGGTGATGTCAAAGGATTTGAAACCTGCATTGAAATAAATTCTGTTTTCCTCCATGAGAATGGGAATGCAGATAAGATCTTGAACAATAATAATAATAATAATAATAATAATAATAATAATAATAATAATAATATTAATATTAATATTAATACTATAAAATCACAGTGGGTGAAAACTGAGCTCCAAAACACTAAAAGAATTCCGATGGAAGGACACCGGAAGTGGTTGCTCTACAGTCCTAGGAAGTAGGAAAGAGAGAAACCTCGGGGAAAGTGCCTGAGAGCATTTCTTTCTTTTCCTAATCCAAGTGGGCTAGGATCCCTAAATGACAGGTTCTGATATATTCGTCAGAGAGTTAGAACAAAAGAAGCTAGTGATATCATAACTAGGTAACGTGATCAATCTTCAGAAATAGCTAGGTAGTTGTAGTGCAGATACCATCAAGCTTAATTTTGTATTTTCTTTACATATGGCTTTAAGTAGCCATGATTTACTGGGTTTTATTATGTGTTTGTCACCTAATGCTTTAAGTAGATATAGTTTACTAGGTATAAGAAATATGATTGTTTTGTCAAATTCACTAATTTGTGTATGGGCAGCTAGCATGAAGGTTTTGCTGAAATGGTGTCCTAGATTCCAACTAAACAAAAAGTACTTAAGATGCCTGCTAATATCTAAATGTATTGTAACCGCAAAATCAGAGTATTTTCATTCGATTTGTGCCCTCATTTTAGATTATCGCTTACGTGGTCCTTCAATGCTGCGTATAGTGGTTAACTTCCATTTTTACATGATATAGTTTACCTTTAATTTTACATCTTTTAGGGTGGAGCTATTCCCTTCTAAAACACCTCCCCCTTCGCATTGTGCTTTTCCTGTGCTTGTGTATGACAACTTCAGAGGTAATCCTAATGCTGTAGACTAACTTTACTAGACAGAATACTCTAATACTGCTCTTGTAAAAATATATCAATCTCAAGGGGAACTAATGTTGAAGGAAAGTGTTCTTCCTTTAATAAACAAATGTGGATTTTGGTTAGAACTATAGTGCTACTTATAATTTAGTTGTGGGCTGCAGATTCATCTTCTTGCCTTCTCTTTTGGTGCTCCTTCGGTAAATAAGAAATGTAAATGTAGAGAGATACATCGTCAATGAAACTAATGCAACAAGAATACCAAGATCCAATTAGTACTAGATAAAATAGGAGTTTCAACAAGATCTGGTTTCAACATTTGTATTAAATCCTTTAGGGTTAATTATCTAAACACAGTTATCCCTCTGGTGGAAGTACCACCTATGCTAAACCTGCAACTGGAAGTGAGCTCATTGTCCTCTTTAGATATTTAGAATATGTTGAATGTGAAAATCTGAGACGTATAAACAAGCCATGGTTCTGCCACTATTATTACCCACTTCAGGCAGGAAATACAGATCCACTAATTGATGTTTTACTTCTTCCTGTCTATATTTTGTGTATGTTATGACCATCCAGCTTTCGTTTGATTTCTTTCCATCCATTCTATTCTTTGTCTTGGTATATGAAGTTATTTCCCATTATATTGGCTCCCTGGAGCTTCAGACCTAAGGCTGCTCAAACTCCTAAGACAATATTCAGTAATTTTCATATAATTTTCTATACTTCCTCGATAACGTTCATTATACTTACAAATATTTTATTAATTATATTTTTATTTTCAGCTAAAGAACAGTTCACTTTTTTAAGACACGAGATACGAAATATGCGCAGTCAGTTTTGCTATCAAGAATGTATAGAAGATTTTATTCCACACGGAGTATAGAACATTAGTTCATTAACTCTTGGAAAAGGGACAAGGAGCAGCAGTACAAGTATTGATATGTGAATGGGTTGATTTCACATAGATAGATTGATTTCATGACAGGGACGCCCCTAGGAAGCTCGAGTATTCCCCTTTTATCTTTTTTTTTGTCAATCAGTTAAGTAGCAATGTACATAAAGGAAGCTTCTTTCTCTGTAACTTTTTCCAATGGGGGTAGGAAATGATATCTCCTCCTACATCTACCACGAATACTCCATGATGATCCCTAAATACAATACTATCCAACTATGATGTGATTTTTATCTATGGGAAATATACCTCTCTCAAAGTAGTACTAAATTACATTTCTTCCTTCAACCTAACTTCATATCCAAATTGTACGTTAATCAAATTTTCAATGGTTGCTCTGTTTGCAGAGATCTTTTGTGGAACAGAAGAAGTTAAAAAGAAGAGCTATTGTAAGTAGATTCTTTCATGTTTTAACAACAAAACTTTCTGATATTGTTATCTTGGTTTTGGAATTCGAAGATATATTATCATGCCTAAAAGCTTCTAGGAGTATTCTCCTAGAGTTGAGACCACTCAAGCATGCCAAACTTTCTTTTTACTTCTTGGCGTAATGCGTATTTTTTATCATTTTAATTTTGTAGCCAGGGCCTTTAATCCCCACGTTAATAGACACAGATCGACCTTTTAAGTAAATTGAATTAAATTTTTTTTGGATTGTCTTTTCAGAGTATAGAATTATTCTATTTCAAAGGTGCTGTGTTTTCTACTAATAAATAGATTGGCAGATGTGGAATCTCTCTCTCTTCGTTCACCTAATGTAGCTTAACAAATATGAAATATGTTCCCTATGGAGTCCATTGGGTGATGCCTGGAAGAGTGGAAGTATGGAGCAAGTTTGAAATTGTTGGCATGGACAGAAAATAGAAAAAAGACGGACATAAGTGTATGGAAAACAATTCAGATATGCATTTATGGATTATTTTATTAGAAAAGAATAATAGGATCTTTGAGGGAACTATGGAATGTATTCCTCATGTAAGATTTATTTGCATTGAGAATTTGGACTGTTGGAGCAAAATAAATGTATCATTTGATATTTGTAGATATCCTGGAATTTATGGACTCCTTGCAGGTGTAGAGTGAGTATATCATGTACACGAGGATCTTTTCTACAGTTTAGTACCTTTTCATGGAAGATGAAGAACGTATTTCTTTGCAACACGCAATGTTCTAAATGTAGATATTTGATTATTAATTTAAGATAAAAATTAATTACATCAGCGGAGCTAACTGGTATATTTTTGGACAGATTCAAAAGGTACGGTGAATGCTTTCCTTCATGTAATCTACTTTGTTTGTTATTGAGTAATTTGATTCTCAAAATGATGTGTAATTCCAGAGCTTCACAGGTATGGTCCTGTCCTTGAATGCATTATCACAATTAGTGAAGAATTATCATAGCAAAAGAGGTCGCTCAACTGCTTTCAAAAGGCAAATATTTGGGTAACATTCCTCCTTCCTTTCTCCCCCTTGGCCCTTTTCCTTTCTTGTATACCCTTCCTGCTATTAGCATTTTACCTACTCTTAACATCCTCCATTGTTCCACTTCTCACTTTATTCTAAGAAATGGATCCTGCTGTTTTTTTTTAATCTTAATTAGAAAAACTTCAATATACAATTAGCTTTCTCTGAATTTGCTCAAAGGGATTAGATACATTTATTTGATTCTTTTCTTTATAGGTCCTCTTCATGGGATTCTGTAGAGACCACATCCAGATATTGAAGCTTGGGTTTACAAGAGGTATTGACAATTAATGAATGTAGAGACCGCATCCAGAAGCAACCCTGTATTTATATAACTACAAGGAAAATTCAACATTCATGTATCTCTTATCTAACTACGTCCTTTTCTATGTAGTATTGATACCTTTAGTACAAATTTACCGTATTGTTTTCTTCCGTCACTTGCATTAAAGGGTAAACCAGCTAGACAAAATATTACACTTGCAGTGTATATATTTAATTTATTCTTTAATCTTGAATTAACTTCTTTTAAATCTATTTACACAAGCTAATCGTATAATCTGGTACATACCAATTGTGTTACCTAAAAATATTGTAGAGATTATCACTGTCTGCATAGCCAACATGGAGGATTCAAATGCAAAAACAATAGTATTAATAACAACCCTAAATAGTTGTTGGGCCTCACTAGTATTTAGCTAGAAAATACTGATTATCAATTCAGTCCAAATGAGAAGCTAAACTCTTATAAAGTTATAAATTTTCAAAACTTTTTAAACCCAAAATGAAAAGATCAGTGCAGACCACCAAATTCGCAAAAGACCCATAAAAAAATTATGCAAGATAAGCAAAATGGAACATTAATGAACATCAAAGAATGTTAATTTTTTCTCATATTCAAGATAGAAATGAGATTGAAGGAATTTATAGGGAGTATGATATTGTTCACTGCTTCTTTCTAATTCTCCCAATATTTCTAGTGCTACAAAATTGTACAATTTAATTGCTCCAAAGTATCAAAATCAGCGGAAATTTGATTTGCGTTGGAATCAAATTCAGTGTTTAGTTAATAGCGTACAACATAGAGGATATTTTGAATTTGAGAAGACCCTCCAAAGGAAGGTTGTTGGCAGTGTTCTCGACTACGGATCTCGAAATTTATGAAGAGGGTGGTCGAGTTTCTCTCTTGTGGGTTGAAGCTGAAGGTCTAACTGTGTTTACATTAGGCAGTGCAGGGCGGAATAGTAGTGGTGGACCTGGTGGTTATGGTGAAAAGGAAGCAGTGATTTTTACCCTTTTTTTTGAAGAATGTTTGAGGTTAAATGCTTGAGGTGAGACTAACAATCTAAAATGATGGAGGCCTGGAGGTGAAGATAATGGTGGTTCATCATTTTAGGTGGTCAGACGGTGGAGATATTAGTGGTGAACGGATGAGGGAATGGAGAATAAGATTGGAATGGTGGCAGTTGGTGATGATGGAGGTTTCTTTAGGGTTAGGGGTATCTTTGATAAGTTTATTAACGGCAGGGGTATATTTATACTCAAAGTATAACGGATGTTAAAATATAGACAATTTTCGATAGTATATTTGAACCTTTTCCCAAAATTTAAATACTAGCTTCAAAAGTTTGATTACTTGGCTATACATACATACATGAGTATGGTACATGTCAACTATTACTCCTTGTGCAGATTATGGAGAATATACAAGGAAGCAGAAGATAAGAAGATACACACTGAGTAGCTCAATAGATCAGTACCAGTGGCTATAGTGACCATCTTGCTCCTCTCGAACATCTTGACAAGAAGGATCATGACAATTACATGTCCCACTTTGGTTTTTAATTCATCAAGCGAACTGATCTTCATCCATTTTGGCCTCTCCTACATGGCACCAACAAGTGATTTAAACAAGAGAATGAAATGGAAAACTCTATATCTAGAGACAGACATGTTTCATGATTGATGTATACAAGATGCATTCGTCGCATCACAAGCTTACATGTTACAGCACCAATTTCTGGTCATTTGCAAACTAGACTAGAATTTCAAATCTCTAATGCTAGTATAGAGGGTCATAAGAGTAGCAGGACAAAAGAAAGAGTGTTACTAGCTTTCATGAAACTTATGCTTCTTCTGACTATAACAATTTTCAGCAGTTCAATTAATTCTTTAATACTTCTTATGTTAGTCTTTTAGGGATATTCAGAGAAACCATGTTTCTTAATACATTATGATTGAAAAATGAACCATATTAGAATGTAACATGACAGCAATTCCAGCTTAAACAATTCTCTTCTAATCCATTTTGAAAGAGAACCATAATTTTTGCCATCTCCAGTTATCAAACAGGAATGAATAAACTGAAGTTTATGAAGAAAGCAACAATATATAGTGGAAGTATAAGACCGTTAAAATTGGCAAAAGAAATCGAGAGAGAAATAGGATACATAAGTGATGAAGATCCAGAGTGCAACTACCTTCAGAGCAAACATCCCAAACAAGGAAGACTGCTTGAGGGCACGATCGCGACTTGGATGAACATCAGGAGAGACATTAGTGATGAACAATCCATACAAGCCCATCCCAAATATTAACATCACGGTCCCAGCAAGATAAACATCTGCATTACAAGGATAGTAAACTCAGGAACACAAAAAGAAGATATTACACGTTTAGATGTAACCAGTGTTATCAAAGGCGCGCTTAAGCCCTAAAGCGAGGCGAAGTGCTCAACATAGCCTCGCTTAGCGGGTGCTTCAGTGTTGTCATCGAGGCTCTAAGCCATACTTTTCCTTGCCAATGAGCGTAATCCTGAAGAGGCGACACTAAGCAATTGATATTTTACTTTATCGTAAATTTTCTTCAATTTCTCTATCCTTATATTTGGCATTCATGCTTATTGATATTAGTTTTGGACTACACATACATATTTGAAGTTTTTCTCCATTTGAGCCTTTCTTCATTAAAGTCCACACTTTATTTGCGCTTAAAGCCCTAATAGACCTTAGAACTTTTTTGCGTTTTTCGCCTTTGATAACGTTAGTTTACAAATATGTATAGTGTAGTCTTGTCCCACATTGGAATAGAAGTAATATCTCCTTGTAGTGTATAGTTATAAATATGGACCTCTTGTATTGTATTTATTATCCAATATTAATAACATATTTTCTCCCGTGCTTTCTCACATGGTATCAGAGCTTTAGTGAGAAACCCGTCGCTGTGCATCATTCCAGCGACTTCCGGGAAGAAAGACCTCTTCGCCGTGCAATTTTCCGGCGACTTAGAAGGCTGTCCGTAAGCAAATCACTTTCTGTTGGTGTTGTGCAAAAACCAACACCACCACAAGACTCCTCAGGCTTCGGCGACCAAACCCCAATCAACTCCACAGGAAAACACACGTTCACGCGCCCTCACGAGAAAATAAAAATTCCGGCGAGATCTGACCCACGCGCCGGCGCGTGAGCACTGGTCCGGCCAGATTTTGAAAAAGTTCCAGTTGAACAGTAGGATTGCCTAGTAATTCCGATTCTACCCTCACTGGTTTTGTTTCATTCCGACCACTTTGAGTTTTTCCGTCAGCAACCGTAGATTCCTGCGAGTTACAGTGTTTTTAGCGTGAACAGTGTTTCCGGCGCAGAACAATGTTCTGGTCCTGCTGTAAACAGTGTTTTTCAAGCTATTTCTTCAGTTTTCTCACAGGAGTTACTTATTTCTACTATTTCAAGTTAACCCTACTACTACAAATTGTAGCGACATGGGAACTGATACTTTGAATAGTCGGATGGTTTCTTTAGCAGATTATATTGAGTTCCTTCAGTACAAAACATGTAAGCAGACATCTCGTAGCGACATGGGAACCGATGTTTTGAATAGTCAGATGGTTTCTTTAGCAGATTATATTGAGTTCCTTCAGTACAAAGCATGTAAGCAGACATCTCGTAGCGACATGGGAACCGATGTTTTGAATAGTCAGATGGTTTCTTTAGCAGATTATATTGAGTTCCTTCAGTACAAAGCATGTAAGCAGTCATCTTCTGAGATAGCTTCTGTTGTTCAAACAGGTAATAGCGTGACTTGTTTCTCCCAATCTTCATCCTCTGAGTCCTGGGTCATTGATTCAGGTGCATCAGATCATATTTCTGGTAACAAATCTCTTTTCACTACTATTTCGTATTCTCAATCTCTTCCAAAAGTCACAATGGCCAATGGGTCTCAAACCATGGTAACTACAATAGGTCAAGCAAGTCCACTTCCTTCCTTACCTTTAGATTCTGTCCTTTATGTTCCCAATAGTCCTTTTAATTTCATAGATGTTAGTCGCTTAGCCAAATCACTTAAATGCGCTGTTTTATTTCTTGATGACCATGTTTTTATACAAGAGCGCAGTACGGGGCGGATCATTGGTACCAGGCGTGAATCAAACAGACTTTATTACCTTATCCTTGCTAAATCACATGGACTCACATCCTGTCTTCCTTCTATAACTTGTCCTGTTACTGATTCACCAGATTTATTACATAAACGGTTGAGACATTCCAGTTTGTCAAAACTTCAGAAAATGGTATCTAGTTTATTTCACTTGTCAGCTCTAGAGTGTGAGTCATGTCAGCTCGGTAAGCATACTCGCTCCCATTTCCCTCGACGTCTTGATAATCGAGCAGAGTCACCTTTTACTTTAGTCCATTCAGATGTTTGGGGTCCTAGTCGGGTCAGTTCCACCTTGGGATTCCGCTACTTTATCAGTTTCATTGATGATTATTCCAGGTGCACTTGGATATTTTTGATAAAAAATCGATCTGAGCTGTTTTCTATTTTCCAGACCTTCCACGCTGAAATTCAAAATCAATTTGGGGTTTCTATTCGCACATTTCGTAGTGATAATGCCCGAAAGTATTTGTCTTCCCAATTTCAGCAGTTTATGAAATCGCATGGGATTATTCATCAAACATCTTGTCCGTACACATCTCAACAAAATAGGGTAGCTGAAAGAAAGAATAGACATCTTATTGAAACTGCTCGTACCCTACTCATACAATCTCATGCTCCATTGCGTTTTGGGGATGCAGTTCTTACATCTTGCTATCTTATTAATGGTATGTCATCTTCAGCTATCCAGAACCAAGTTCCATTCTCTGTCATGTTTCCCCACTTACCTTTGTTCTCTCTTCCACCCCGTATCTTTGGAAGCACTTGTTTTGTCCATAACCTTACTCCAGGAACAGATAAGTTAGCTCCTCGTGCTCTTAAGTGCGTATTTCTGGGTTTCTCAAGAACACAAAAGGGGTATCGATGCTACTCTCCTGACCTCCAGCGGTACTTTATGTCCGCTGATGTTACCTTCTTTGAAACCCAATCATACTTCACAGGTTCACGCCCAGGTGATTCGTCCACATCCAGCATTAGGCCTAGGTGATTCACGCCCCGTATCAGATTCT